AGATAAACCTTGAAAGCTTTATGTTAAGTGCAAAAAGCCAGACACAAAAAGGACCCTTATGATAATTATTTCATTTATATAAGTGATCTAGAATAGATAAATCCACAAAGATCAAAATTAGATTAGTGGTTGGAAAGGACTGGGAATGGGGGCTGAGGGAAAGGGAGTGACTGCTGATGGATATGGGGTTTCTTTTTGGCATAATGAAAATGTTCTGGAATTAGATAATGGTGATTGATGCACAACTCTGTGAATATGTGAAAACTACTGAGTTGTACACTTCTAAATGGTGAAGTTTACAGTATGTGAATTATATCTCAATACAGCTGTTACTTAAAAAAGAATCACCAGGAGTAACAAACAGCCTGATAAGTCAAGGGGTAGAACAGCATGTACACAACCAGACCTAAGAATAAAGATATTTAGTATGTGATACAACATTTCAGAGCAGTGAAGAAAGAATGGATTAGCCAAAAAAAGGTTTGAGGACAACTGGCTAATCATGTGGGAAGAATAAAGTTAGATTAAAAAAAAATTCCCACCTCTGCCACTTCCTAGCTGGTGGGCTAGGGAAGTCCCTTCACTTCTCAAAGCCCCTTTTTCCACATCTGTAAAATATGCATAACATTCCTTGTCCATACAGTTTTGGCAAGTATTCAGTGAGATACTGGTGGCCTGCTCTGTGGTAATCATGGAGTCAATGTTAGCTGCGATGACAGAACCACTGCTGGCAGCAGGGGTGCTGCTTTTTCAACAGAGCACGATCCAAATCCTAGTCTGCTCTTTAGTAACTGTGTGACCTTAGGCAAATGCCTTCACCTCTCTGTGCCTCCGTTTCCTCATCTCCAATATTAGCATAACCACACCCACCCCATATAATTAGTGGGAAGATTTAATGACTAAAGTGACTGCCCAGTGCCTGACACATGGTAAGCCCTAAGAAAATGGCAGCTGCCTTTATGATCGTCCCAGAATTGTAGAACCACAGTGTCTTAAGAGTGATCTACAGGTGAAGACCCATAGAACCTTGGAGTGCCAGGATGTTATAACAGTAGAATCTCAGAATAATATATGCATAGAATCTTGGAATCATAGAGCCATAGAATTGCAGGAGTTTTAGAGCCGGAATGACCTCAGAGACCATCTGCCCCAGTGCAAGCCTGTGGAAATTTTCTTTTTTTTTTTTTTCCTTTTAAAAAGATGACCGGTAAGGGGATCTTAACCCTTGATTTGGTGTTGTCAGCACCACGCTCAGCCAGTGAGCAAACCGGCCATCCCTATATGGGATCCGAACCCGGGGCCTTGGTGTTATCATCACCGCACTCTCCCGAGTGAGCCACCGGGCCAGCCCTTTTTTTTTTAAAAAAGATGACCGGTAAGGGGATCATAACCCTTGACTTGGTGTTGTCAG